AGAATACAGGACATTTGTCAATGGAATCTCAGAATGGGTAGAATAAATGAAATATAATAATGTGTTTATTTTCACATGTTACCATTTATAATCTGTAAGATGAGATGTGGTTATTTTATTCCAATTTTGGGCCTAGTAAAAGACAAAATTTATAGAAAGAGAAAGTTCAAAAGATTGCACCAACTCCATTCTTAAAAATAAAGTTCCATATCTACCATTGTTACACTGTTGTTTTACCCCTGTTGGCAGGTCACTGGAACCTAGTGTTTAGATGCTTACAAATTGAGTTGTGGGGGTTTGATTCTTCCCCCTGGCACAACTTTTATGCATTCTTTGTCATGGTGTTTAGTCCAATATGCCATTTGTTTTTGTTAAGAAATACTTCTGTTTATGTACGTACGACATCTTCAAAAAGACGACAAAATATACATTTCTGTGATGATTCACTATATTCAACTATAATAAAAAGAAAAGAATACATTTTTCTATTTTAATCTTTGCAATTAATAATCAAAAGACAAGACAATATTTAATTTAAGTACATGTACTTTATTGATCCCTCTGGTTTATATAATCTTTATATATGTTTGTAACACTTGTCTCTCCCCCGCAGCAGTATACAGTTAAACAGCAGCGGTAGATCCGGTGTAGTAAACAATAAAAATTATTACCTGGTAAACAAGGTCAAATACTGTATATAACACAAAACACAGACATTGGTCAGGTATTCAGTATAATCATAATAATACTCAGGTATTATATATCAGACAAAAAAGGCAAAACACCTATAAATCATACAATTTACAAACTAGGTATGTATGATGTTTCCCACACTGAAAAATGTCAAGTCTAAAAAAATTCCTGAAAAGCCCAAATACAATAAAAGTTTTTAAAGCAACCCTATCCCATTCAACCTTATGTATGCAGTAGACACATGCAGTGTCATTAAACGTTAAATATGTAAATTTTATACATAAAAAATAAATTGATCAATGCTATTAAATAATACCTGTTTACAATTAATAACCATTGAATAACGGTAATAACTTTCAAACATTCAGTGAAGGAAAAAAGTATAATTTATCATAAAAGTGATTTTTAAAAAAATAATATTTTTCATAACAATATCTTTAATGGTATAAGAAAGATAATGTAAATTTAAACAACTTGCTCATAAAATATAAATAAATAAAAAATATATAGTAAATTCAACCAAAAAAAGTATTTATAAAGACATTGGTCTCTGCGGAAATTACACTTAGTGGTTTGTTGACCGAGGAGGTCCCCTACTTTCTGTTGTGGGATGATGTCACTTCCTGTTATTCTTTAACAGACTGGTTATACTCGGCCAGGACTTTTCAGGCCTTAGGAGCCATGAATCCGTCGGGTCCGAGGGTTCTGGCCTTCCCTGGCAAGTTTTTTCATACGAGTTCCCGATATAAAATCATAGTCCTCCTTACGTTCGGGGTTAAAGAAATCCATCTGTTTTAGTTAGTGTTATATGCTGCCACTCTGAAGGGAACAATTTCTAATTGTGTTAACCCTGGTGCCATCGTCAAAACCATAGGCGCCCCATGAAATTCTGTAAATAACGAAAAGATAAATATACATAGGTGCAGACCCCTCTATACTGTAAAATCAACCTTGTTCTCCCCAAAGATACTACATTACGCGAAGCCTGTTATTATCAGTCCCTTGACCAAACTTGTAAATATGTCAGTTTTCCCAGATTCCCTTAAAATAGCACAAGTAGTCCCTATTCACAAAAAGAACAGTGTCCTAGATAAGGGAAACTATAGACCAGTAAGCGTCCTCCGAGCTCTTTCCAAGGTTTTTGAAAATGCAATCAACACTCAAATATCAAACTATTTTGAGAAAATTTTTAACCCTTATTTAGCGGCATTCAGATCAGGGTATGGTTGCCAATCGACCTTATTAAGAATCACCGAGGATTGGAAGAGAGCGTTTGATGAAAATAAGTATGTTGCTGCTATTTTAATGGACTTATCCAAGGCATTTGATTGCCTCCCTCATGATCTTGTTCTGCTCAAACTAAAATCTTATGGTCTCTCTCCACCTGCGGTAGATCTGATAAAGAACTATTTATCTTGCAGAAAGCAGTGTGTCAAAATTAGTCAAAATATAAGCACCTTGTTGGATATCTTTAAAGGTGTACCTCAAGGATCAATTCTTGGGCCAGTTATTTTTAATATTTTCATTAATGATATTTTTTATTTTGTAAAAAATTCAGACTTGTACAACTATGCAGATGATAATACCTTATCCAAATCTGATCCTATCTTACAAAATGTTATTACTACTCTTGAAAAGGAAAGTGGCACTCTCATCGATTGGTTTTCAGCTAATAAAATGCAGGCAAACCCAGAAAAATTTCAAGCAATAGCACTAGGGAAAAAAACGCATGATAAAGACATTACTTTAAACTTGAATGGTACAACTCTTGCCTGTGAGGATGAAGTGAAACTGCTTGGAGTTACTTTTGATTTTAACTTAAACTTCAATTCTCATATATCAAATATTTGTAAGAAAGCAGCTCGACAATTAAATGTGTTAAAACGTGTCGGGAAACATCTTTGTAAACTGGGTAAACTTACCATCTATCACTCCTTTATAATGTCCAACTTTAGTTATTGTCCTCTGGTATGGCATTTTAGCAGTGAACAAAATTGCTAGAAAAAAATTCAAGAGCGAGCACTAAGATTCATATATAATGACTACACAAGCAGTTATGACCAGCTCCTAGAAAAATCAAACCTCCCCTCACTGAAAATCAGGCGTATGAGAGCCATGGCTCTTGAAGTTTTCAAAATTATAAACAATCAAAGCCCACTGTTCCTGCAAGATTTAGTTCAACAGCGAAATTCCACATACAATTTTAGGTATCAAAAGACTCTGGAATTACCAAGGCCAAGAACCACTAGGTATGGAAAACAGTCATTCAGCTATGCGGCTGCTACGTTGTGGAATTCTCTACCAAATCATGCTAGGGAACTTTCCACCCTCAGCCAATTTAAAACTTTCATTGAGACATGGACGGGGGAAAAATGCAAATGCAGTTCCTGCAGAAACCACAGCGTGGGGCTGCATAGCTGATGAGACGATATTCATCTGTTATTTATTCACTTAGTTTAGAAACAGCTGAATTTTTATTTATTTTTGAAATCTTTCATTTGCTTTAATGATACCAACTCATTTTATTTCATTTGTTTTCTAGTGTTTCTTTTATTTTTTTTCTTTACCCTCACAACAATGCATATCTTGCCTATGTAGGTAGGGACTGACCCAATCACTAGGCAGGATGTGTATTGATGAGGAACATAAATTATTTTTAAATTACTATTATTATTTTTTTTTATTTTATTTCTTTATTTATTATTTTTTCCTTCTTCTTTCTCAATTTGGTTTAGCTATGTCTGTGTGAATTTTTAATTTTCTAAACTTTCAAATTTATTTATTTATTTTTATTATTATTATTAATAATACAATTAGTTATTTTTTATCTGAATTTATGGATTAAACTTAGTGCTTAATTTTTATTATTATCACATGACTTTTATCTATTTATTTATTTATAATACTCACGTTATATTTATTTTTGTTCCTCTTAATGCAATCGTATTGTTTTTCAATTTGTCTATTTTTTCTTTAACTTATTCTAATGAAATTATAAATTCTTATAATTTGTTAAATTCTTAAAATTCTTTTTATCTGTCATTTGTATGTGTATATATGTACATGTGTTTTTCCATGTTAATTTATGTTGTAAATGTTTTCTTGTGATATTTTAACTGTGATAGTCGGTTTAAGAGCTCTACAGAGCTCATGTTTCTTGTTATGTATTGTATACAATGCCGACTTTAAATAAAATTTACTTACTTACTTACTTACTTACTTACTTACTTGTCTCCGGAGACTACAAACTGTTGGAATTACAATACGCGCTAATTGTGCTCCTTTTATTTGCCGACCTGGTTTTGCATTCTTATGAAGCAGAATTTATTTAAAAAAAAAAACTACATCAGAAGAAGAAAACACATGCAGTGGCCTTCAACCAAACAGTCAGAAATATCGATGATTTATCAAATAGCAATAGTTTTCCATTATATGTCAACTCGATTTATCCCAGTGGACTTGAAATAAAAGAGACACCACTGATTCTGACCTATCTGACATATCTGCATCATATTTGTATGTTCACTGACTACAGACGACAAAGGCCAACTAAAAACTAAATTGTATGACAAGCTAGATGACTTTAACTTTCCTAACGTCAACTTTCCTTATAAATATGTAGTACAATATTCCGCTATCATCTACATATGTTGAACATGTATATGTCTCCCAACTAATTCGCTACTCAAGATCATGACTTTAACTTTTCTAACTTCAACTTTCCTTATAAATATGTAGTACAATATTCCGCTATCATCTACATATGTTGTACATGTACATGTCTCCAACTAATTCGCTACTCAAGATCATGCTCTGAATACGACAAGTTTTAAAATCAAGACAGACTTTTCTTATATAAGTATTGATAGTAAACACAATCTATCATTAAGTCAAATGTGGACTTACTGATTTTCATTCAAATTTTTAAGCTATGCATTGTTTTATACTAAAATTCCATTCCTCCGATCATGGCAACATACATACGGCGGGTGTGATTTTCTGGTAGGGAAGCTTTCTCCTCCACGGCACGTGATCCTATCTCTGATGTTTTAGTGATCCTTGTCTACTCAGTTTCAAATTTGTTTTGTTTTAAATGGTTTCAATTTGATATTTATAACTGTTCGTTATCTTCAAATTTCATAAACTACGACGATAAACTCGTACATAATGGCAAGAGACACTTCAAACAAAATCTAAAAAATTAAAACACTCAAACAATAATGTAACTATACTTCCTATATCAATCAGTTGACGAACATTTCCTGTATAAATTGAGTTTTGTTTATACTTTGCTTTGATGCAGCTGACGCATTAACTTGATACTCTTTCTACCTTAAGTTTGCTCAAAATGGATTCCATTAGAATTTCACAAATGTAAGTTTTAGATTTTGTTGATAATTTCTATCTTAGAAAGGCTTTCAAAATGTTTTGGAAAATGCTGTTTTGTCATTTTAAACTATTCTTAAATATATACATGTATTTTGTTACAGTTGTGTTTGTTATATATATATAGAAATGAAACCAATATGGTGGTCTATTGTTTTGTACTTTATGATTTAAAATTACCTCTGTATAATGTATCGGAATGAACGATACAGTGTTAAAAATGTCAACTTTTGTAACAACTCTCGTAATTTGAATCATTGCTTTTAATTTTAAATAAATGAAAACTCAACAAAGATGTCAAGTAATGTGTCCATATATCTCATTTCACACTAAAATATCTAGAAATTCTCCGTTTGCCTGATCATGACAAGAAGTACAAGGTCAGAGGGGATGCTCACTCCCCCATGGCACCTGATCCCACCTCCGATATTTTTAGAGGCCCCTGTTTATGTAATTTTCAAAAGTACTTTTGAGCTTCGTTATCTTCATTTTTTATTCTTCTGAATGATATTAAGTTGAAAACAAATGGTTGATATAAATAATTCTTTTTATTAAGAGGATGAAATTACACTGCATATTAGAGAAAATATAAATAGATTTATCTATGATAATTTTAATTTAATTACTAAAGTGACATACTGTATTAGATATATATATTGAATTTGCCTTTCGTCATTTCCAGTATGACAGCCATTCAGAATATATCAAAGTCAGTGTTTGTAGGATTGTGTCGTAAAGTGGGGACCTCACAACAGGTGGCCATGAGGAGAGATCTGATGGACGTCAGTGGAATGATACAAAATCAAATAATAAGCGGAGAGTTCAGTATGATGTTGAGTGGAAGTCGCAGAGAAGGATTTAGACTGAAAGAATCAGATATGGACATTATGATATGGCCAAATAATCATCGTGTGATCTGGGAATTATCACAGTCTCAGTATTACAACACAAACAGACAGACACTGATCCTCTGTGACCGTTCTGATAGTCCACCAGGATTTACTTTGTTATATCTACTGTCACCAAGTGTTAAAATGAATTATAAATATTATATTTCTAGTTCTCAATACAGACAAATCACGTGTTCTGCATTTCCACTTAACACATCCCAACATGGACCCTGTGCCAGTGGAATGTTTGGAACAACAGAGTATGATTATGCCAACTGTTTTGTCAGTGACTTTTGGCCTCCATCTGCCTCCTCATGGATAGACAGATGTCACTCATGGCCCGAGCCTCATGTTGTTGATGATATAGTAAAAAATGGATGTCACTTTGTAGCAATTGGACATAAGCTAGGAAGTCATGAAGACCATGAATGGAGAATTTCTTTCTCTCTGGCAGAACAAAAACTAGTGTATGCAATGAATCACTGTCAATTCTTAACCTATGGCTTACTTAAATTGTTCTTAACAGAAATAATTAACAATGGAGTAGGTGATGATGATAAATTACTGTGTTCCTATCACATGAAGACAGCAGTTTTCTGGGTTATTCAACAAAATATAATACCTCAATGGTGTCCACAAAATCTCCTGGAGTGTTTCTGGGTCTGTTTTAAACTCATCCTCAAATGGGTGTATGCGGGAATCTGTCCTAACTTTTTCATTCCAGACAACAACATGTTTCTGAGTAAAATTCATGGCGACAAACAACATCAACTATTTATTAGACTGTATAGATTGTATGAGAAGGGTTTAGCATTCCTGCTACACAGTCCCTCCATTAAGTCAGATATAGAAAAAGTCCTTCAAAACCCGAGACTCATCATTTGTACAGATGAACAAAGTCTGACTTCTGAAGCTGAATTTGATGTATGCTTATTTAAAGAAATACATGACAGGGACACACTCCATTCATTAAATCTACAAAAATTCATCACCTGTCTACATTCAATAGAACAGATGATAGGCGCGTATATAGGGTCACCCTTCCCCACACAGTACAGCATTCTTATGTTACAGAAACTTACAGCTTCTGTCCTTCAGAATCTTGCTTTCAAATTACACATCAAAACCTGTACACAGAAAAACAAATCGAGGTATAATGCTGAAAAAATCTCCATTTACATGCTGAAACTAGCTTCCAAGTTTGGTTTTATTAGTGATATGATGTACATAGCCATGTATTATTACAAGACACTTAGATACATGGAAGCTTTATCTGTTATTAAGATAATGAAGGTCAAATTAGCACAGCCATATGTGATGTGTAGGAATTTAGATGTAGAGATGTATACAGATGCTATAGGGGGGGACAGTCCTGGCCCACAAAGATGAGGCATGCTTTTGCATGGGATATCAACCTTTATAGTAAAATCCATTACATCAGTGAGTTGATACCAGAACAATGGTCTAGTCTACAGAAGAAATTGCAGTTTTTAGCTATCCCACCCTTTATACTGTTACACATGCTAGAGATCTTGTGCTACAGACATGTTGACACAGAAAGAGTTCAAATAGCTCTTCATGAACTACAGACCCTAGTTCACCATGATCACAGCTATATTCTAGATATACGTTGCAGGGACATATCATGGCAGATTCTGGGGATCTGTCAACAGGTGACAGGGAACCTCCAGGCTGCTCTATACTCATATAGACAATCTCTCAGACAAGAACACTACAGTAATATAAACACAGCTACAATTATCAGAATTATTATATTGTTGTACAGACTTTATTTCAGTCAATTGTTGTTTGTATACTTATTTATATGAATAATATATAATACGGCAGATTCTGGGAATCTGTCAAAATGGAATCTCCAGTCTGCTCTATACTCATTCCAACAATCTCTCAGACAAGAACCACACAACAAAATACAAACAGCTATACCTATGAGAATACAGGACATTTGTCAATGAAATCTCCAGTCTGCTCTATACTCATTCCAACAATCTCTCAAACAAGAACCAATCAACAAAATACAAACAGCTATACATATGAGAATACAGGATTTGTCAATGGAATCTCAGAATGGGTGGAATAAATGAAAAATAATGATGTGTTTATTTTCACATGTTACCATTTATAATCTGTAAGATGAGATGTGGTTATTTTATTCCAATTTTGGGCCTAGTAAAAGACAAAATTTATAGAAAGAGAAAGTTCAAAAGATTGCACCAACTCCATTCTTAAAATAAAGTTCCATATCTACCATTGTTACACTATTGTTTTACCCCTGTTGGCAGGTCACTGGAACCTAGTGTTTAGATGCTTACAAATTGAGTGGTGGGGGTTTGATTCTTCCCCTGGCACAACTTTTATACATACTTAGTCATGGTGTTTAGTCCAATATGCCATTTGTTTTTGTTAAGAAATACTTCTGTTTATATATGTAAGACCTCTTCCAACAAATGAAAAAATAGACATTTTCTGTAATGATTCATTGTAATCAACTATAATAAAAAGAAAAGAATGCATTTTTCTATTTTAATCTTTGCAATTAATAATCAAAAGACAAGACGAGATTTAATTTAAGTACTTTATTGATCCCTCTGGTTTTATATAATCTTTATATTTGTTTACAGGAAAACAGCAGCGGTAGATCAGGTGTAGTAAACAATAAAAATTACCTGGTAAACAAGGTCAAATACTGTATATAACACAAAACACAGACATTGGTCAGGTATACAGTATAATAATAATAATACTCAGGTAAGATATATCAGACATAAAGGCAAAACATCTATAAATTATACAATTTACGACCTAGGTATGTACGATGTTACCCATACTGAAAAATATTAGCAAGTCTATAAAAAATAAAACCTATAAATTCCCACATACAAAAAAAATTTTTTAGTCAAGCCAATCCAAATCCACCTTGTGCATACAATAGCCACATGAAATGTCATTAAATATGTTAAATATGTAAATACATAAAAAATAAATTTATCAATGAAATTAAATAATATTTGCTTATAATTAACAACCACTGAATAACAGTAATTTCAACCTTTAGTGGAGGGAAAATGTTTTATATACAAAAGTGATTTTTTTTTAATTAATATTTTTCATAAGAATATGTATCATGGTAGAAGAAAAATAATGTCAATTTATACAATTTGCTCAAAAATATAAACAAATAAAGAAATAAAATATATTCAACAAAAAAGAAATTATTTATAAAGACATTGGTTCCTGCAGGAAGAGACGACTAAAATTACACTTTGTGGTTTATAGATGGAGGAGGTCCCCTACTTCCTGTTGTGGGATGATGTCACTTCCTGTTATTCTTTAACAGACAGGTAATACTCGGCTAGGACTTTCCAGGCCTTAGGCGCCATGAATCCATCGGGAGGGTCCTGGCCTTCCCTGGCAAGCTTTCTCATACGAGTTCCCGATTTAAAATCATAGTCCTCCTTACGTTCAGGGTTAAAGAAATCCATCTGTTTTAGTTTAGTGTTATATGCTGCCACTCTGAAGGGAACAATTTCTAACTGCATTAACCCTGGTGCCATCGTGAAAACCATAGGCGCCCCCGTGTAATTCTGTAAATAATGAAAAGATAAGTATCCCCTCTATACTATAAAATCAACCTCGTATCCGGAAACTACAAACTGTTGGAATTCCAATGCGAGCTAATTGTGCTCCCTTATTTGCCGACCTGTTTTTACATTCGTATGAAGCAGAATTTATTCAAAAACTTCTACATCAGAAGAAGAAAACACATGTCATGGCCTTCAACCAAACAGTCAGATATATCGATGATTTATTTATCAATTAGCAATAGTTTGCATTATATGTCAACTCCCCAGTAGACTTGAATTAAAAGACACCACTGATTCTTCCATATCGGCATCATATTTGTATGTTTTACTGACTACAGACGACAAAGGCCAACTAAAAACTAAATTGTATGACAAGCGAGATGCCTTTAACTTTTCTAACGTCAACTTTCCTTATATTTATGTGGTACAATATTCCGCTATCATCTACATATGTTGTACATGTATATGTCTCCCAACTAATTCCCTACTCAAGATCATGACTTTAACTTTTCTAACGTCAACTTTCCTTATTTATTTAATACAATATTCCGATATCATCTACATATGTTGTACATGTATACTAGTATGTCTTCCAACTAATTCCCTATTCAAGATCATGCTCTGAATACAAGTTTTAAAATCAATAAGTATTGTTAGTAAACACAATCTATCATTAAGTCAAATGTTGACTTACTGTTTTTCATTCAAACTTTTACGCCATGCATTGTTTTATACTAAATTCCCATTCCTCCGATCATGGCAACATGCATACGGCGGGTGTGATTGTTTGGTAGGGAAGCTTTCTCCTCCACGGCACGTGATCCCATCTCTGATGTTTTAGTGATCCTTGTTTTTCTCAGTTTCAAATTTGTATTGTTTTAATTTATTTCAATTTGACATTTATACTAGTAACTGTTCGTTATCTTCAAATTTCATAAACTACGACGAAAAACTCGTACATAATAGCAAAAGACACTTAAAACAAAATCTAAAAAATTAAAACACTCAAACAATAATGTAACTATACTTCCTACATCAATCAATTGACGAACATTTCCCTGTATAAATTGATTTTTGTTTATACTTTGATTTGATACAGCTGGCGCATTAACTTGATACTCTCTCTACCTTAAGTTTGCTCAAAATGGATTCCATTAGAACTTCAGAAATGTAAGTTTTAGATTTTGTTGATAATTTCTAACTTAGAAAGTCTTTCAAAATGTTTTGGAAAATGCTGTTTTGTCATTTTAAAGTATTCTTAAATATATACATGTATTTTGTTACAGTTGTGTCTGTTATATATATAGAAATGAAACTAATATGGTGGTCTATTGTTTTTTACTTAATGTTCTAAAATTACCCCTGTATAATGTATCGGAATGAACGATACAGTGTTAAAAATAACAACTTTTGTAACAACTCTGTAAATTTGAATGAATGCATTTAACTTTAAGAAGATAACGAAGCTCAAAAGTACTTTTGAAAATTACATAAACAGAGGCCTCTAAAAATATCAGAGGTGGGATCAGGTGCCATGGAGAAGTGAGCATCCCCTCTGACCTTGTACTTCTTGTCATGATCAGGCAAGCGGAAAATTTCTAGATATTTTATGGACATTTCGGACATTTTACTTGCCAACTTTGTTAAGTTTTCATTTGTTTAATCTTCATTTCTTATTCTTCGAAATTTGATTGATATTATGTTGAAAACAAATGATTGATGTAAATAATTCTTTTAATTAAGAAGATCAAATTACACTGCATATTAGAGAAAATAAAAATAGATTTATCTATGATAATTTTAATTTAAAGACTAAAGTGACATACTGTATTAGATATATTGAATATGTCTTTCGTCATTTCCAGTATAACAGCCATTCAGGATATATCCGAGTCAGTGTTCGTGGGACTGTGTTGTAAAGTGGGGACCTCACAACTGGTGGCCATGAGGAGAGACGTGGTGGACATCAGTGAGATGATGGAAAATCAAATAATAAGTGGAGAGTGCAGTATGTTAAGTGGAAGTCGAAGAGAAGGATTTAGACTGAAAGAATCAGATATGGACATTATGATATGGCCAAATAATCACCGTGTGATCTGGGAATTATCACAGTCTCAGTACTACAACACAAACAGACAGACACTGATCCTCTGTGACTGTTCTGATAGTCCACCAGGATTTACTTTGTTATATTTACTGTCACCAAGAACGAACATATACATCCATAGAGCGTGTGTTAGAATGAATAACAGACATTATGTATCTAGTTCTAAATACAGACAAATCATGTGTTCTGCATTTCCAATTAACGCATCCCAACATGGACCCTGTGCCAGTGGAATGTTTGGAACAACAAAGTATGATTATGCCAACTGTTTTGTCAGTGACTTTTGGCCTCCATCTGCCTCCTCATGGATAGACAGATGTCACTCATGGCCCCAGCCTCATATTGTTGATGATATAATAAAAAATGGATGTCACTTTGTAGCCATTGGACATATATGGCACGCCAAATTCACAAAAATGAGATAAACCTAGTTTCACATTTGATAAACTAGGTTTATCGACTGTAAAACTATATTTAACGGTTGTTAACTTTAGTTTACGAATGATGATTTAAGTTTATCTGTCTGTAATAAGCGTTAACAATAGATTTTGTTGATAAACATAGAGTCACGTTTGTAAACTTAATAGTTTACAATCGTAAACTATAGTTAAGAGTTGTTAATCATAGTTTCACAAATCGTGAAATCATGAAACTATATTCATCAGATCGTTAACTATAGTTAACGGTTTGTAAACTATAGTTTACAAATCGTGAAACTGTATTGATTAGATAATCTATGTTTTGCAATCGCAAATGATAGTTTTCGGTGTTAAGTATAGTTTACGGTTGTGAAACATAGATTATCGTGTTAACTATGGTTTACAGATGTGAAATATAGATTAACGTTGTTAACTATAGTTTACAGTTCGTTAACTATAGTTTACAACCAATAAACCTAGTTTATCGACTGTGAAACTATGATTATCTCATTTTTGTGAATTTGGCGTGCCATAGACATAAGCTAGGACATCATGAAGGCCTTGAATGGAGAATTTCTTTCTCTCTGGCAGAACAAAAACTTGTGTATGCAATGAATCCCTGTCAATTCTTAACCTATGGCTTACTTAAATTGTTCTTAACAGAAATAATCAACAATGGAGTAGGTGATGATGATAAATTGCTGTCTTCCTATCACATGAAGACAGCAGTTTTCTGGGTGATTCAACAAAATACAATATCTCAATGGTCTCCACAAAATCTCCTGGAGTGTTTCTGGGTCTGTTTTAAACTCATCCTCAAATGGGTGTATGAGGGGATCTGTCCTAACTTTTTCATTCCAGATAACATGTTTCTGAGTAAAATTCATGGCGACAAATAACATCAACTATTTAGAAGGCTGTATAGATTGTATGAGAAGGGTTTAGTATTCCTGCTACACAGTCCCTCCATTAAGTCAGATATAGAAGAAGTCCTTCGAAACCCAAGACTCACCATCTGTACAGATGAACATACTCTGATTTCTGAAGCTGAATTTGATGTATACTTATTTAAAGAAATACATGACAGGGACACACTCCACTCATTAAATCTACAAAATGCACCATCTGTCTACATTTAATAGAACAGATGATAGGTCACCCTTCCTCACACAGTACGGCATCCTTATGTTACAGAAACTTACAGCTTCTGTCCTTCAGAGCCTTGCTTTTATATTACACATAATAACTTGTACACAGAAAAACAAATTGAGGTACAATGCTGACAAAATCTCCATTTACATGCTGAAACTAGCCTCCAAGTTTGGTTTTATTAGTGATATGATGTACATAGCCATGTATTATTACAAAACACTTAGATACCTGAAAGCTTTATCTATTATTTTAAAAGAAGATCAAGGACAAGTTGACACAGCCATATGTGATATGTAGAAATCTAGATGTAGAGATGTATACCGAGGCTGTAGTGGGACAGTCCTGGTCTACTAAGATAAGACAGGCTGTAGCATGGGATATCAACCTTTTTAATAAAATCCATTACATCAGCGAGTTGATACCAGAACAATGGTCTAGTCTACAGATGAAATTGCAGTTTTTAGCTATCCCACCCTTTATCTTGTTATACATGCTAGAGATCTTGTGTTACAGATCTGTAGACACAATGAGAATACAAACAGCTCTAGATGATCTACAGACCCTAGTGCACTATGATCACAGTCATATTTTAGATACACGTCTCAGAGACACATCATGGCAGATTCTGGGGATCTGTCAACAGGTGACAGGGAACCTCCAGGCTGCTCTATACTCATAATAACAAACACTACAGTAATATATTATCAGAATCATTATATTGTTGTACAGACTTTATTTCAGTTAATTGTTGTTTGTAAACTTATTTATATGAATAATATATAAAATGGCAGATTCTGGGGATCTGTCAACAGGAAATCTCCAGGCTGCTCATACCAACAGTCTCTCAGACAAGAACTAATCAACAAAATACAAACAGCTAGTCAGCTACAGAAATGAGAATACAGGACATTTGTCAATGGAATCTCTAAATGAATGGAATAAATGAAATATAAAAATGTGTTAATTTCCACACGTTATCATTTATAATATATAAGATGAGATATGGTTATTTTATTCCAATTTTGGGCTTGCATGTAGTAAAATACAAAATTTTTAGAAAGAGAAAGTTTAAAAGATTGCATAAACTTCATTTTTAAAATAAGGCTTCATATCTACCATTGTTATACTATTGTTTTACCCCTGATGGCAGGTCACTGGAACCTAGTGTTTAGATGCAGCTTACAAATTGAGTAGTGGGGGTTTGACTCTTCCCACTGGCACAACTTTTATGCATTCTTAGTCATGGTGTTTAGTCCAATATGCCATTTGTTTTTGTTAAGAAGTACTTCTGTTTATGTATGAAAGACGTCTTCAAACAGATGACAAAATATACATTTTCTGTGATGATTCACTGTATTCAACTATAATAAAAAGAAAAGAATACATTTTTCTATTTTAATCTTTGCAATTAATAATCAAAAGACAAGACAATAATTAATTTAAGTACTTTATTGATCCCTCTGGTTTATATAATCTTTATATTTGTTTGTAACACTTGTCTCTCCCCCGCAGGAGTATACAGTTAAACAGCAGCGGTAGATCAGGTGTAGTAAACAATAAAACTTACCTGGTAAACAAGGTCAAATACTGTATATAAAACAAAACATAGACATTGGTCAGGTGTACAGTATAATCATAATAATACTCAGGTAAGATATATCAGACATAAAGGCAAAACATCTATAAATCATACAATTTACAACCTAGGTATGTATGATGTTTCCCACACTGAAAAGTATTAACAAAAAGTATTTAAAAAATACCTAAAAAGGCCCACATATGAAAAAAGTTTTTTAATCATTCTACACTGTAATCCCATTCAACAGTATGCATGCAGTAGCCACACACAGTGTCATTAAAAATGTTAGATTTTATACATAAAAAATAAATTTATTGATGCTATTAAATACCCCTTGGTAATATTATACTTCAATGTAAATTAGTTGAATCTGAATGGTCAAGAAAAATTTATTAAAAAACACTATTACCAGCTGAATAATGAAGCCACGCCCTCCAGCATAGCAACAGTCAACATTGCCTGACGATGGGTGATATTCCAAAAAAACAGCAACTGAGCAGAATTTATGTGCGCACTGTTCACTTCTATAAGTATTTGTATAAAACATTCAGTATAGTATAATAAATATAGCATGTAGATGATTGTAACATTGAAAATTTTCACCCCTCGAAAAACATTGCGCCTCGGTTGACAATGGTTTCCTTGGGGTGAAAATGTTCAATGTTACACTCAACTACATGCAATATTTATATAATGTCTGCTTAAAATAACCAATGAATAACATTAATAACTTTTCAACATTCAGTGAAGGAAAAAAGAAGAATTAATCATAAAAGTGATTTTTATTTTTCATAACAATATTTTTAATGCCATAAGAAAGAGAATGTAAATATTTTTTCCGTTATTTCCTGATTATGACAATGAGCACACGGCGGGTGTGACCGGTCAGCAGGGGATGCTCACTCCTCCATGGCACCTGATCCCACCTCTGATGTTTCGGAGGTCCGTGTTTGCTCTGCTCTTGTTTTGTATATTTGTTTAATGGACGTTGAGATTGAATACTGTTCGTTATTTCCATATCCTTATTTAAACAATTTGCTCATAAAATATAAATAAATAAAACAAATATATAATAAATTCAACAAAAAAAATTATTTATAAAGACATTGGTCCCTGCAGGAAGAAACCACTAAAATTACACTTAGTAGTTTACAGACTACTTTCTGTTGTAGGATGATGTCACTTCCTGTTATTCTTTAACAGACTGGTAATACTCGACCAGGACTTTCCAGGCATTAGGAGCCATGAATCCGTCGGGCGGGTCCTGGCCTTCCCTGGCAAGCTTTCTCATACGAGTTCCCGAGATAAATTCATAGTCCTCCTTACGTTCTGGGTTAAAGAAATCCGTCTGCTTTTGTTTAGTGTTATACGCTGCCACTCTTTAATTCTGTAAATAACGAAAAGATAAGTATACATAGGTTTAGACCCCTCTATACTATAAAATCTACCTCGTCTCCGGAGACTACAAACTGTTGGAATTCCAATGCGTGCTAACTGTGCTCCTTTTATTTGACGACCTGTTTTACATTCGTGTGAAGAAAAATTTATTTAAAAAAAACTACATCAGAAGAAAACACATGTCATGGCCTACAACCCAAAAGTCAGATATATCGATGATTTATTTATCAATTAGCAATAATTTGCACTATATGTCAACTCGATTTATCCCAGTGGACTTGAAACAAAAGACACACTTATTCTGCCATATCTGCTTCATATTTGTATGTTTTACTGACTACAGACGACAAATACAAACTAAAAACTAAATTGTATGACAAGCGAGATCACTTTAACTTTTCTAACGTCAACTTTCCTTATATTTATGTAGTACAATATTCCGCTATCATCTACATATGTTGAATATGTCATCCAACTAATTCGCTACTCAAGAGCATGCTCTGAATACGACAAATTTTAAAATCAAGACAGGCTTTTCTTACATAAATATTGTTAGTAATCACAATCTATCACTAAGTCAAATGTAAAATGTTGACATACTGTTTTTCATTCGAATTTTTACGCCATGTATTGTTTTATACTAAATTTCCACTCCTCCGATTATGGCAACATACATACGGCGGGTGCCGGTGCTTGTCTAGTAGGGAAGCTTTCTCCTCCATGGCACGTGATCCCATCTTCGATGTTTTAGTGACCCTTGTCTACTCAGTTTCAAATTAAAATTTGTATGTTTTAAATGGTTTTAATTTGACATTTATAACTCTTCGTTATCTTGAAATTTCATTATAAACTACGACGATAAACTCTTACATAATGGCAATAGACACTTAAAACAAAATCTAAAAAATTAAAACACTCAAACAATAATGTAACTATACTTCCTACATCAATCAATGGACGGACATTTCCCTGTATAAATTGATTTTTGTTTATACTTTGATTTGATGCAGCTGGCGCATTACCTTGATACGCTCTCTACCTTAAGTATGCTCAAAATGGATTCCATTAGAACTTCACAAATGTAAGTTTTAGATTTTGTTGATAATTTTTAACTTAGGAAAGCTTTCAAAATGTTTTGGAAAATGCTGTTTTGTCATTTTAAAGTATTCTTAAATATATACATGTATTTTTTTTACAGTTGTGTTTGCTAAATATATAGAAATGAAACCAATATGGTGGTCTATTGTTTTTTTACTTTATGTTTTAAAATTACCTCTGTATAATGTATCTGAATGCACGATACAGTGTTAAAAATGTTAACTTTTTGTAACAACTCTCGTAATTTGAATGATTAAAATTTTTCTTTAAACAAATCAACACTTAATAAAGTTGTCAAGTAACATTTCCATATATTTCATTTCACGCAAAATTGTCTAGAGATTTTCCGTTTGCCTGATCATGACAAGTACAAGGTCAGATGGGATGCTCACTCCTCCATGATACCTGATCCCACCTCAGATATTTTTAGAGGCCCCTGTTTATGAATTTTTAAATAATTTTTTGAGCTCGATATATTCTTCGTTATATTCATTTTTTTATTCTTTGAAATTTGAATGATATTAAGTTGAAAACAAATGATTGATGTAAATAGTTCTTTTTATTAAGAAAAAGAGGATGAAATTGCACTGCATATAAGATATATAAATAGATTTATCTATGATAATTTTAAGTTAAAGACTTAAGTCACATACTGTGTTAGATTGATATATATTGAATTTGTCTTTCGTCATTTCAAGTAAAACAGCCATTCAGGATGTATCAGAGTCAGTGTTTGTGGGACTTTGTTGTAAACTGGGGACCTCACAACTGGTGGCCATGAGGAGAGATGTGGTGGACATCAGTGAGATAATGGAAAACCAAATGATCAGTGGAAAGTGCAGTATGATGTTGAGTGGAAGTCGCAGAGAAGGATTTAGACTGAAAGAATCAGATATGGACATTATGATATGGTCAAATAATCACCGTGTGATCTGGGAATTATCACAGTCTCAGTACTACAACACAAACAGACAGACACTGATCCTCTGTGACTGTTCTGATAGTCCACCAGGATTCACTTTGTTATATTTGTTGTCACCAAGCATGGACAGAGGAATCCAGATAGCGTGTGTTAGAATGAATAACAGATATTATGTATCTAGTTCTAAATACAGACAAATTATGTGTTCTGCATTTCCACTTAATGCATCCCAACATGGACCCTGTGCCAGTGGAATGTTTGGAACAACAGAGTATGATTATGCCAACTGTTTTGTCAGTGACTTTTGGCCTCCATCTGCCTCCCCATGGATAAACAGATGTCACTAATGGCCCCATCGTCATGTTGTTGATGAAGTAGTGAAAAATGGATGTCACTTTGTAGCAATTGGACATAAGCTAGGACATCATGAAGACCACGAATGGAGAATTTCTTTCTCTCTGGCAGAACAAAAACTTGTGTATGCAATGAATCATTGTCAATTCTTAACCTATGGCTTACTTAAATTGTTCTTAACAGAAATAATTAACAATGGAGTAGGTAATGATGATAAATTGCTGTCTTCCTATCACATGAAGACAGCAGTTTTCTGGGTGATTCAACAAAATGCAATACCTCACTGGTCTCCACAAAATCTCCTGGAGTGTTTCTGGGTCTGTTTTAA